TAACACTCTTGTTTTCTTCAGCGCGCGGACACTTGATGGACGTCCATTTGCTTGTGCTACAAATGGATCCATCAACTTGCCAAAGCCAAGGACAAGCGTCTCCAATTTCTGTGTTCCTGCTGCTGTTGCCACACGTTAGCTGCTTAATTTTCAAAGGGCCATTCGTTTGTGACAAAATTGAAAAGCGTAACACCTGTTCATTATACACTGTGTTTGTCGTCAAAATCCAATGAGGTTGTGCTTCAATCAGTCTTGTTATTTATGGCGTAAATACGCATGTATTTATGCGTACAAATAGTTTTTAGTTTTTGCCGTAAACGTAGGTAACAAGCCTGCTGAAAATTTGCCCCGCAGAACGGGCGCTCGTTCGAATCACATGCCTCACGCGAAACGCACACACTCGTGCAGCGCCCTAAACAACGTGACGCTCGTCACTCACCACCACGGCGTACCCACGCACAAAAGCATTGCCCCCGTGGGACGCATTTCTCTGTCAGCGTTCAACGCCCAGGCGTTCTCTCCACAGCGCGTCGCAGGGGTCGCACCTTCCAACACCTGCATGGCCTCTTCAAAACCACCTGTTGCACACGGTTGTTCAACAACCTGTTGCACACGGTTGTTCAACAACTGAGCTGGGCTTGGAGAAGCGCCCACCGCCGCCGCTGGTCCTCGGTTAGGTGAGGTCGAGGTAATCCACAAGCGCGGCCCTGCCTCCGCGTTCGGATAGACGTGGGGTTCGGTCCACCACACAAGACTCTCCTTCTCTTCAATGGTGTGACGGCCCGGTCTCCGGTTCACCGCGCGGCCCGCAGCCGTACTGCCGCATCCGCGCCCCTCTGTCCGCCGCCATGGCTGACATCGCCGGTTGCGCACCACATGGCAATTCCCAGCAAGCTGGAGCGGGTGCACGGCCTGAAAACCGCAGGTGGAAGTCACCCAGAAGGGCAGCGCCGCATCATTTAACGGGTGTATCCCCTTTCGTACGGCCAGGAACCCCGGCTGCACCGTCCTCCCACCGGACACCCAATGCAGGCTGGAGCCATCTGAAACTCGAAGTTGCTCGAATCGGCTGGGCAAGCGGCAGGCTCGGGGGCGCAGAGCGGAAATGGGCGAGGAGTGGGGCCCTGGAGCGGCGGAGGGGCCCGGGGACGGCAACTCTATCGGCCTGTTCTTCACGTCGAGCTTCGAGGGACTGGACGGGATTGGGACCAGGTGCGGGCCATGGGAAAATGTGACCGGTCTGCCTGGCGCACGCTGGCAATCTGGCGCCTGGAAAACTCTCATCTTGGTTCGCGGTGCCATGTCGAAAACTGCCCGGAGAATCGGGGCCCTACGGGACCGTTTGAGATGGCGGTCGGGGCTGCGGGACCTTGGGGTTCAATCTCTGTGACTTTTGGGCATGCCAGGGGTCGGTTCTGTCGGTTCTGTCTGTTCTCGGGGACACAACCCCCTTACCTTGCGATCAGTGGGCCAATGGGACGTTAACGGGAGCCAGACCCGCGCATGCGGTCCCAAACTTGCGGCTGTTTCTCCCACGCCCGCTAGTGCCGTGCCTCAGGCTGGCTTATGGCCGCGGACGGCTTCCTCAGCCGCGCCCGCGCCGCCGATAGGCCCTCCCTGGAGCCCGACCGCATCAACGAGCGTCGGGATGCCCATTAACCCCGTGTGGCCATCAAATTCTCCGCCTCCGTTGCCCCCAACTGCAGGACTCGATGCCGTTTCGATCATGATCATCATCAGCGTCGCAACAGCGGCGCTCTCTCACGGTCTCGGGGCAATCACCGCCCGGTCGGGGCCCGCGGCTTGCCCTGCGGCCCGCGGCGAGGCGCGCCCGCCTGGTGCGTAAACTTGGGGTCGGGGCTGTCGACGCGCCCCGCACCCACCCAGCGCTGCCCGCAGTTGCGGCCCACCAACCCAGGCACTGCGAACTTGGGCCTGAACCGGGGGCCACACTTGCGGCCGGCAACTGCCGTCATCGTGCGCTGACAAATGGCGGCAAAACGGCCGGCGTTGGCAGATCCGGGGGGCGCTTTTGATGTGTGCTGCGTGCGCAACGTCGCGGCCGCGTGGCGGCACACACACATTCTGCCCGAGAATTTTAGAGCGCAGCTTCTGAGCGCGCGGGGCCGTCGGCGGATCGGGGCCGGCGCAGTCGCCCGTGCGCAGCCGCACCGCCGGTGCTCAACAGCCTGCGCCATCCAACCGGCTTCAACGGGCTCGGACAGCAAGGCCAGCGGCAAGGGCGCACGGCCAAGGGGGCGACGGCGCCGCGGGAACAGCCGACAGCACGGCACCGCGGCCCGGACTCACGTGGGTGTGCCGGCATCGAATCGCGCTCTCGCTCCGGCTGCGACCTGATGTGTTGGCTTGATGCGTGTCGGAGACAGAAGGGGCGGGTGGGTGGGCGGCGGGGTGGGGGGCAAATTTGTGGCCGCGGGAGGAGAAAGTTGTCGCGGCCAAGGCCAGCGAGGGAACCTCGGGCGAGGATGGCTGTTCGCGGCTCGTGGAATTTGCCCGACGCGCGGGGCAGTGACCGTCCCGCCGGGTCCAATGGGCTGCCAGGCGGCGAATTCCCTCTAAATTCCTCTGGAACCCAGTTCTTGATCCCCGCGCGTCGGCCCAGCGGGCCGCCCTCCCCTGCCGGTACTGCGGCGGGGGGGCCGCGGCTGCGGGCATCCACGCGGGAACGTTGTTGTTGGCGGCCCCAACGACGTTGGGTGGGCCGTCTGGCGCCGGGGGCGGCTGAGGAAGAGGCGGGTGGGGGCGCGAGCTTCACCGCCTCCGGCACAGCCAGGGTTTTTCTGACGGAAGGGGCTCAGTGTGGCCCAGTTCGAGCTCTCAGGGTTTTGCGTGGAGGGGCCATCGGTGGCTACCTTCGCAAGGGCCTGCCGCGCCGTGGCCCCTAGGCGGGGGGCCGGACATCTGGCGATCATGGCCCCTTCTCGAGTCCCCGCGCACGCCTCCCGGGCGCCGGCGCCCATGTGCCCGCATTAAATGGCCTCTGTGGCGATGCACTTCCTTGCAAGGCTGAATCGCCGTCAGTTCGTGATTTGTGAAGCTTGGCGTTTTCCGGCCCGCTCAGGCTCGTTCGCGCCTTGCGTCCGTCGGCCCCCTTCGGGGAGGGGTCGCCGCCGCCGCGACCTCGCCTTGGCACCCCAACCCCAACACCCCTCCCATGATTCCGGGAACGTCCCGCGTTACGTAACCTCGGGCAAAGCAGCTTGGGGAGCGCCCATCACGGCCGACAGGTCAGCAGCTTCAGGTGGACCATCCTCCCCCAGCCGCGCACCCCGTCCCTGACGACGCAGGAACCTCCCAAAGGCGCAGGCAGCCCGAGGCGCCGTGCCCAAAGCACTGTTCCCAAGGTTGCCAGTGGCTTAGATCTGCTGACGATCTCGGCCTGGGAGGCTGGACTGGGTCGTCTCTGCCCTGCGGGTGACCCTCTGAGGGATCCTGCTCAAGATCGGCTCCCTTGGCGCGGGCGAGGGAAGTTCGAGCGCCAGGTGGCCGCGAGTGGTCGAACGGGTTACGAAGGGGGCCGTCCATGCCGCGTGGGTCGCGTTGACTCTCTTCGAAGTCTAGGTGCGCGTTGGCAATAACCAGGGCAGCCTTTTTGGAGTTCCCAGGGTGCGACCGCCTGGATGGGCGATGCGTCTTGGCGAGTTTGGTGCTGGGTTGTAGCGGCATGTGCGAAGTGTTTGCGCGACGCAACCGGGTGTGACCGGCCTTTGCTGTCAGTCGTCCTGCGCAAGCCCCGACCAGGGCCCAGGACTCGTTCCTTGCCGCCGCTGATTCAGGCGACAGTAATGTTCACGGTTGGGTCAACCAATGGGGCGGACGTGGACGTTGGGTGGTGTGCAATCCGCAATGATCGGGCCTTGCATTTCCTGACGGCTGCAGTCCATCATTCGGCCTGAGGGGCTGCGTCCCGATGCCGCACCCAGAAGGTGCGACCGACAGCTAGCGCCCGTTGCGTGCGCACTGCTTTGCGCACATCGGCCGCATGTGGAGGGGAATGAGTATCGCCTGACAAAGCAATGCCCATCTTTCCTGATGGTCAAGGACCGAGACTTGAGTCTCGACACGCAGAGAGCTCGGATTGCCGACTGCGGTGGGCCCGTGTCAGCCCGATCGGCGGTTTGGGGGCGATCTCTTGGGCCCCCGTTGGCCATCTTTCAGCTTCGTGCCTCGACCCGGAGTGGATGCCGAGGGAGGTCGTCCACGCGGTTCGCGGCAACAAAGCCCCATGTCGGAAGAGCCGCAGCGGCGGGGAAGGCTCAAATTGTTTTACATTCATGGGGGGGCAATCGTTCCCTCTTTGGGGCATCAGGACGCGCCCCTTTATTCCTGCTATTTTTGTCCTCCGTGTCTCCATTTTCCAACACCAGGAAAACAGTGTCCTGGCGCTGGAGGGAACGTCCGCGCTCCGCCAGGGGAGTCCTTCCATCAGTTTTGGGTTCCTCTCATGCACTGTTGGCGCCCAGCTTCACAGACATTAGTAAGCGGGATCGGCACAGGTCGGCGGCAGCGCGAGAAGCCGCCTCAGGAGAGGCACCAGCGAGCGACCTCGCACCCACGCGCCGGCGGCGCCGCGGCGAGGCGGGGACCCGCCTCTTGCCCCCGCGCCCCCACGGCCTTCCCTTACGTACGTCGCATCTCCGGAACCCTTTTCGCCACCCCCGGACCCGGACTGTTCATGACGCTGCAGGGTAGTTTGTCATATTGCGCCGAGGCACCACGCCCGTGGCCGCCTGCCCATCACCCCCCTGCGGTTTCGATTGCCGGTGCCGCAGCCCTTTTTGCACGAGCGCTTTTGCCAAGCCGAGCAGGCATCTGGGCCCAACCCTGACCACAGTGTTGTGTGTGAACTGGGCAGCAGCTGGATACGTGACGACGAGCTCGTAAGGCAGATCCTAAACCCGGGCGAGCTGGACCCCAACATGCTCGGAGCATCGCCGGAGGCAGCGGAACGCGCGGTCAAGGATGACGAAGGGGAGCAGATGGCCCTGGAGGAGCAGGCCGATCCCTGTCAGCAGCTGATTCAGGTATAGGGCCGCCCGAGCGCCGACCCGATCCTGTACCACCGCCCGGGCAGCGGGCCTCCGGAATTTTGTTTTCGGCGTCGCTGGATGGCGATCGCCCGGAGGATGGGCGTCTCCTGGGAAGGTCGGGATGGGTCGCAGGCCTTAGTGGGGCTGCAGGGGCACTGCGTAGGTGTGACCCTCGGCATCTGGCGGCCATCTCATTCGCGGGGAGTCCCTCGCGGGTCGGGCCAGGGCCATTGGGCACGGGCCTTCGAAGAGGCATCCGATCGCTTGCGGGAGCCGGCCTCTGCGCAGCCGACCGCCCCTCGCCCGTCAGCCGTCCGCGAGACTCTTCATCCCGCACCCCGTCGACGCTCCACCCCCCCGCTCCCCCCCACACACATTGTTCCATCCGTATCGGGAAACACCGCTCGCGCATCATTGACTGATTCATCCTCAGCGCGGCGGCCTGATTGCCCCCCGTCCGCCTCACCGCACCTTCCCGGCCTCCGCTCCGCGTTCGCCGGCCGCACACCGACATTGACACCCCAGCCCCTGATGGGCGCCGCCCAGCGGCCATCAGCCGTTGCGCGGAACGGAATCATCGATATCGGCGTTACTTCCCACCCGCCGCGCCCCGTTTGCCTTCCGCCCTCCGCGCCCTGTCCGGGCGGTCCCCCCGGAGGGCCATGGCGGCTGACGCCAAGGCGATGCTGGTGAGCGGGCCACGGGTCGCCGCGCGCCGATCGCCCGTGCATTGATTTATCCCCGCGAGCGGCGCCGTTCGTGTTTGGTCGCCCTGTTCGAGAAGATCCCGTGATGAACCGAATAGGAGACGCGGGGGAGCCCCCGTGCCCTCGCGGCATATGCGCAACGGCCGACTGGCCGCCGAGCCGAGGTGTTCGATCGGCATCGACTGGGGCTGCGTGTCGAACGCCCGGGGATTGATCGATTCCCGCCGTCAGCTTCTTGTCCGTGGCCGCCCCGTTTGAGAAGATTCCCTGTTTGCGGAGGGAAGAGGCGCAGAAAACGCCCGTGCCTTCGCAGCTTTGTGCGCCGGCGAACAGGCTGAGCAGCCGTGTTGCTCGCACGGCTCTGACGGCGCTCCGCGCGTAACGCACGGCATTGATTCTGCCGTCATCTCCTTGGCCGTTTCTCCTGCGTTTGAGAAGATCCACTGCTGACGCGGGTAGAGGCCCCGGAGGCCCCCTGGCCCCCCACTGCTTTTGTGCGCCGGATGAGAGCTTCCCAAGCCGTCATGTTCACGCGGCCCTCACGGTGGCTGCGCCCAGGGTAGTTTTGTTTTGTTTGGCGCGGCGGCGGGTTGGCATGCGGCCGCGCGCCCTCACACTTGTCGTCCGGACTCCTGGTGACGGATTAGGCCGAAGCTGGTGCGCATCGCGACGACAACGGATCCCGCGCCTTGGGGTTTGCGGCGGAAAGCTGCCTTTCTGCGGGACCGGGTGCCTTTGATGGCTGTGCTCAATCCCCTTGCTTTTTTGCGTGCGTCCTGGTGGCTTGCAACCGTCATGGTTTGGTGGACGTGGCAAGAAAGAGGGCGACGCGTAGTGCCATCCCTTGCATTACGTTTGCTTTCATACACGAGGAGGCCCGTGCGTTGCGCCACGCGGGCGAAAGCTGTCGTGCCCTCCCCAGCAGTGCCCCTTCGTCCCAACGGGCCGTTTTCGTCGCCTGTCCGCGGCATTTTGTCGTGCCCACGCGTGCGCGCCCGCGTTCGCATCTCCGTCGCGATTGGCGGCGAGCTGCTCGGCGTTTCTTCGGCCACCACCAGGAGATGCACGGGGGGCACTTGCATCGGTGTACCAGGCGCGTGAGGCGCCCAGCGTTGGCCTCGCGGCGTTACGTGGTGCTCTTCGACCCAAGTTGGCCGGGGCTCCAGCCTTTCCAAACAACAGCCTTTGCTTGTTGTGCGCATACTGGAAACTGGAAGCAAGGTCCTTGCATCATTGCGCCCCTCCCGAATTTGAGCGGCCCCCACCGTGGTCTTCTGTGGTTGCCTGACGCGGCAAGGAGCTGATTCGGTCTGCTCTGGACGTTCTGTCCAACCAGGGCTCGACCGCTCTGTGTCTCTACGCCCCTCGTGAAACGCAGGTTGTTCCTGATAGCGCGCACTGCTGGTTCCAGCGCGCAGGGCAGGGTGTGCCGTTTGGGGTCCCCGTCTACTTTGCTGTGTCGAGTTGCACTTGCACCAGACGAGTTCGCCTTGCTATGACTCGAGGTGGTGAGTCGTGACAAGCAATGCAATGTTATCCGGAGTTTTGACCCAATGTCCACAGATTCAGCGAGTCCTGCTGAAGCATCGAACTTGTGCATCAGTCACTGTGCCCTGTGAGAGCTCCCCTTAGCGTTCGGCTGTCTTCTGATGTTGCCCTGGTTGATCGGCCCCCAGACCCACACTTACGCATTCGGCAAGCAGCTGGCTCCCCTCCTCCTTGAAGAGGTGGCTGCTCGGGTAGCAGTGCTTGAGGAGAGCGAGCAGGGGAAGCTGGTGCAGCAGCTGGGGATTGTGGACATGTTCAGGGATGTCTTTGAGACAGTGCTGAGCCGATTGGGAACTTCACACGAGGAGCCATTCTCCCAACAAGTGCAGCCACAGTACCAGTTGGTATTCGATCATACATGCCAGTAAGTGGAATATGCAAGCTGTTTCTGTTAAGAATCCTTTGCTGTTTACTGCTGAGCACAATGCTTCCCACAATTGGGGTATCTGGGCAGTCATCTATTGGGGTAATGAAGAATCGAATAAAAACAGCTGGAAACGGCTGGCAAGGGCACTGCCATCGGATGCTGGGCAATATTTGTAAAACTGTTTGAGAAAGTATCAGTTCAAGATTTGCTTGCTGGAGGCAGTTCGGCTCATACATGTATCATGGCTATCAGTGATGTGTCCCTTGGGAACGTCTGGCATATTTAGCTGCAAAAATGTCACCTGAATGCAAGGCCCACCTCACCCTTGTTGGTGTTCTGCCTTCTTGTTGTCAGCGTTCTAACTTGAAATATGCACTGAGTTGCACGAAATACGAGTGAAGCGGAAAGTACGGTGTGAAACTGTGCAACAAATACCCGGAAACAACATCATGGGGCTGGGTATACATATCTTGTGACAGGTTCCATGTGTTGTTGACAAGTTTTTGGTGGTCCTGAGGGCCCTGGCTTGCTGTCTGCAGGGCTCTGGGCTGCACCGAGCCGAACTGCTTCCTTTGCGAGGCCAACCCCAGACGTCGTTGCACCAGCGTATTTGATCGCAAGTATTTCAAGGGCGACATACTGAAGGGCAAGTGTGGCGCCCCGATAACCGTGGAGCTCAGGGACATGGAGGGAAAGAGGGTGCCATACGAGGGGGGCATGATGGGTGTCATCGTGGAGATGTGCATCTTGGATGGGAACAAATACGACCAGCTGTTCCCTGATGGTGCTGCCCACTGCGATGCAGATGGGCTGAACGAGTGCTGCTTGCTGATGGGGAATGAGGTGAGGCTCGCCATTGCGCGTTGGGACTTGGAAGCCCTAGACCTGGGCTCGGTATTGGGTTTCGATGATCAGGAGCATGATTGGCAGTTTGTTCATCACCCGGCCTCATTGTTGAGCCACATTGTTTTGCTATTGGATGTTCATTGCTGTATGGGAATGTCAGCTGAATCGAAAGCTAGTTGCATCTCGGTCTTCAAGTAGACAGTCTTCACATATCGTTTCCTCCACCTGGAAGGAAATCCTCTGCACCTTCCACCTTCTACGGGACAGGAGACGCACATTGTGCCCTTCCCCCCCCCTCTGTCTGCAGGGGCAGCTGCCAAGCAAGGACAGCTTGGGATTCGGCATTACATGATTCAGAACGGTGGGTGACTTGGTCCTCACCCCGGCGTTTCTTGTTGGCACAGGGCCGCCCACTGTTGACCTCCTACGACCGCACTGCGAACCGATCCGACGGGAAAGTGGTGGTCCAACTACAGGTGCGCCAGTCAAAGAACTTTCCAGTGCTGATGCCATGTCGTGGAGACATACTTGGGTGGTTCTCAACGCAGTGGCGCCGATCGCCCTTCCTGGCGCCACCTCGGTGGCTTTAAAGATGTTCGGTTAGTGTGCAGTTCGGCCGGGCGGGTTCTTGGAGGGCACGCACCTCAAGGCTGGGGCGCAGATCGCAAGCCCCTCAGCTTCAATATTGCTAACTCCCGCACTAGCCCAGCTTCTTAGGGCATATGTTGGGCCATTTTCTGCGGCATTTGTTAGGGCGTTTTCTGGGCCTGTCCACTTTCCCTGGGCAGGTGCAGCTGCTAGCCGTGCGAGCAAAGACGCCTCGGCCGCCGCGCCAACGCCCGCCGCCCTGTGATGCTGACCCTCTGCCCGCCTCCGCAGGGCGGCGCCGCGCTCCTGCCGGACATCAACGTGACCTACAGCAGCGAGGCGCTGCTCTCCGGCCGGCGGCCTCCCTTCCGCCTCATGGTCAAGATCTCCTCGCCCGGTTCCCTGCCGGGCCATATGGTCCTGCCCGCCGTCTCCGAGGGCTTCGTGGTGGCCTCGGGCCGGTCGCGCCTCAGCCAGAAGAAGTGCATCCCCTCCGTGGACGACCCCGTTGCCCGCCTGGAGCACATGGGCAAGGAGCGGGTGAAAAAGCTGCGCGACCTGGTGGCCACGGCGCGCCAGATGGGCGTGGACCTGCCCCGCGACATGCCGCACGAGGTCAGCAAGGTGGGCCACTTCCGGGGGCTGGCGCTCGAGGCCGACAAGGACGGGCAGCTGCGGCAGAAGATGCTACACATTCTGAAGATGTCGGAGAAGGCGTGGGATGAGACGCGCGACCACGCGCTGCTGGCGGTGACCAACGACACGCGGATGCGGGCGTGGTACCAGGAGAGTAGCGGCGAGGGGCTGGTGTACACATGCTACCTGGGCGACACAGACCTGGAGCGCCCAGTGGCGCTCATCCAGTCCGGCAAGGTGGTCCTCAAGGACCGCCAGACACCGCTGCAGCGGGAGCTGGTGCGCGACCTGCAGCAGAAGGCGCGCAAGGCCTGGTGGGACGCCGGCCACCCTGGGTGGATGTTCTATCCGTACGACTCGGAGGACTTTGCCGAAAACCCACAGCACCTGCCGCCGCCCTCCGCCCCCAGACCGCGGCGGGGCGGCCGACAGATGGAGGTGGACGTCGGTGACTTGGGGCCCCCACGGCGGAACTCCGCGGGCTCGCTGTCGCTGACGGGGGGCGGGGTGTCGATGGGCCTGTCGCTGAACGGCTCCCTGGGCTACCTGCCTTCGATCCCGTCACTGGGCACCGGGCCGGAGAACCTATCCGTCTGCGAATCGCTGGCCGACCGGCAGCACTCTTTCAACTCGTACGACAACGACGAGGCGCGGGCCCGCGGCAAGAAGCGCCAGCGGCTGGAGGACGACTCGGCGCGCCGGATGGACTGGAGCTCCGACGCCAAGATGGTGGCGGTCACGCAGGGGCTGAGCATGAGCCCCTCGGGCGCCAGGCACGCCGAACCCCGGGGCGCCTCCACGCGGGACTCCGCGGGATCGGCGGGGTCGGGGCCCAGGATAATTTCCCCGTTCGAAAACCCGGGACAGCAGAGGGTGATCTTTTCCATGTGCCACCAGCCCCCGCCCCAGCCGATCCAGCCCGAGCCACCGCTGGAGTCGCCCTTCAGCGACATCAGCACGCCCAAGCCCCCCATCGTTGGCAAGCAGGCCGTCGTGTGCATGGGCCGCAAGAACCAGCACGTCCTGCCGCCAGAGTACGAGAGGTCGGCGCCACCGGCCAGCGTCGTGGCGCAGACCAGCGCGCTGGTGCGCGGCGTCATGAACCGCGGCGGCCGGGGGGGCTCGCCCGCGTCCGCCGCCAGGTCGAATTCCTTCAGCATCAACGCGCACAGGAACCACCTTGCATCTAACGAGTCGGGCAGCGTGGGGGCAAGGAGCCGGCCCGCGGAGGAGGGCGGCACGGATGGCAAGAAGCGCCTGAATGGGGGACCCATCCATATCAGCACTGCGGGCATCTATCCCAATGGTGGGGGGGTGCATGTCAGCAGCGGTGGCATGCACCTGAGCAGCGGCGGTGGCGGGGGGTATTCGGGAAGGAAGTGGAATCACCAGTTTAGTTTGGGCAGTGTGGACACCCTAGACACCAACGCCAAGTCTGCGATCCAGCAGTTCGATCTGGCGAGGCGGCTGGAGGATGGGACCATGTCCATCGTGCCCATGCCGTCCTCTGGGGGTGGCAGGAGCATCGAAGGCACCAGGATCGTGGTGCCGCACATGGAGGGCGGCAGTGAGGGGATGCTCAGGGTGGCCAAGGCGGCGAGGACCCCCGAGGCCGTGAGTGCCAGGGATGGCGGTGCACGGAGTTCTGACGGCCAGGGGAGGAGCACAGGCAACGCCAACAGCACGGAGGAGAATGGCGGCCAGGCCGAGGGTGACTATGGCTCCACCAGCAACTCGCAGAGCCAGTACATCGTGCTGGGGAACGCGAACGGGGGCCAGCAGGATTTCTCCTTCCCAGGGCTGGTCCTGCTGCCCATCAACATGACACAGCAAGTCAGCAGTTCTGCAAACAACAACTCTGTGGAGGAGGGTGTGATGGAAGCAGAGAGGAACAATTGACCTGGAAGCCGTTCTGGTGATCAGGCCTGCCACGCGGAAGACGACTCCTGTGGCGTCGCTTCTGGACCGCCCACAGCAAGCAGCTGACTTGTTGTTTGTGGTCACATGGCTCCCACCTGCCACAAGAACATCTGCCATATCATCACAGGACAGGACCAGTACAACATCAACGTGAAAGGGCTCCTTGTGCGCCTGGAAGTTCCCATTACCAGCCCTCGTGGCCTGACTGTCCTTTGGCATGGCAAGAGCCAACCATAAGCTTAAGCTGGAATGCACGCTGACCATGCCCTGCGCGCCTATCGCTTTGGCTGCCTTGCTAATGGTCGCCTGGCCAAAGGGGTTCGAAGATCCCCTGTGCACCTGCAGCCCTGAGTGGAGGACAACGCACCTGTGCACTGCTGGAGGGAGACTCGTGGCATCAGAGCAGAGGCAGTGTCTGCATCCCAACCCACCCAGCGAAGATGGCCATGGTGATCAAAGCACTGCCTGGGCCGATACATGGCAGTTGCCATTGGCAGGTAGTGCGATGTTCTCTGTGGCAGAGCACCCAAGGCATTGCCATTGCTGTGAAGTCGCTGTCCGATGGACATATGTATGGTGGTACGCTTATGCGAGTGTGAACTCGGAAGGCGCTGCTGTATTGGGGCCGCGCACTATGGATGGCGAGTCCAGGACGGCAAGTGAGAGAAAGGACGGATGATGATGACAATGGCTTGGGCGATTAGAACCTCGACGTTATGCTGTTTTTTTTGTTAGTGGGAGCGTTTTTTGTCAAGCAGGGAATGACACATTGTCTTGTCCAGTGCAGGGCAGACAACGGGGGCCTTGGTGGGCTTCAGCTCCGCAGGTTGTAAATGTTCATCTTTCAGTTCAAAGACCAGCACGTAGTTTGCACCCTCATGACGGCGTCTCGTTCAGCGGCACAGCAGTTGCAGGCCTTTGTGTCGATCGAATGACGTCCCCAATAAGACAGGCCAGCTTCGCACACCTGCATGCAGAATAAGCACGGTGGGTTGTTTCGCTGCTGTCTGCCCACCACCGACGTGCGGCCCAGTGAGCACATCAGTGGGTCAAGATCCCTGAAAATGACGCTCCAGCAACAAATGTCCTGGCGCCGTGCGTTTATTATTGAATGCAAGCGCAACCCAGCTTCTTCGGGCTTCTTGTTCCCCCACGAAAATCTGTCAGGCGGGGAGGCGTTTGGACTGCAGGTTTGGCACCGCGCCCATTTTGAGGCACGTGTGCTGCACGGCTCTACACTGCACGACCGTCAAGAATGCTTAGGGGCCAAAAAATGCGTCCTGTGATTGAAAAACCGCGTCGACATTTCCCCCAAGCCGCTGCTTGTTGCTGCGAATGTGAACATCCGATCCCGTGCCCTGCGCGGGCAGCAGGAGTCCTTGCGAAGTTGCGTCTTGCTGTCTGCGGTCTGCCGACGACCCGTGCGGGCGGAGCGTGGCGCGTGGGGAGCAACGAGCGCGGAGCCCTTGCGGCTGTCGCCTCGGAGGGAACAAGGTGCAACCGTCGCGCGTCCCCCATCAGCCACGTCGAAAACACCAGATGCATTGAGCCGGAAAAGCCTTGGGGGGGCAGTGGATGTTGACCTCATCCGTATGAGGAGCTGATCAGTGGCATGACGACTACTGAGCGCACAGGCTGGAATGTTTCAAATATGTGTTGCCTCTCAAGCTTCCTCATCCTGCGTTCTCATTGCGGGGGCACCACCACATCGGCGAATCTTCAGAATAATTTCGCTTTGTTCCATGTTCTGCTTGTGAAAGCATTTGTGACTTACTCTAGCGATCCTATGCTGTGATGCGGTAGATGCCCGTTGATAGGATTAGCGATTCCCATCCGCCCAAAACCAATGAATGCACATGCGAATTTTGCATGTTCAAGGCTAAGTTGGCAGCTCAGCGGATAGGCCACTGGCAGAAAAAGCATGTCTGCGATGCCAACTGCGATGCTATTTTGACACAAAATGATGCCGTCACAGTGAGTGCGATGGCATAGAAGTGGCTGCGATGGCATAGAAATGGCTGTGACGGCATCAATTTGAGTCAAAATAGCATCGCAGTTGGCATCGCAGACATGCTGTTTTCTACTGGTGGGCAGGCCCCAAGCGTTTAGCATAATCCGAGATTTCAGGTTTGCGTAGGCTTTGCAGGGTACCGAACACCATCTGTCGAACTAGTGTTTGTATGTCTATGACAAATGTAGCGGCACGTGGTCGATTGTTTGGCTACGTGTATGTTCACTGACAAGCGCCAGTGTTGCCAATTATGCTCTGATGTAAAGATTTGAAACAAAGAAATTGCATTCACTAATGCCTCATGTCAGTGCAAAGGATCGATCTAACTGATGCAACAGAATTCCATGCGGGCCCTCCGGACTTCTGCTAAATTTTTAGGGTATATGATCAGGCGCCCATCATTCTGGTGGATGAGGGCGATGAAGCTGCGCAATACCACAGGGGCCCTTACAGCGACAATATCTAATTATCAACATCGGCGGTCACAATGTGTGCACCATCGCCCCCCATCCAGAGGGGCGCATGTCCTCCAGTAGCAAGTGCATGCACTGTGTACATGTTCTGTGTACACAGAACATTTGTGAACCAGGACGAAATACCACCCTCTCGCCCACCCCCAAAATGTTGCACGAACTTCAGAATCGCACAAGGCGATTTCTGACAAAAGTTTGTTGTAACCCCCAACATGCCTACCAGAACAACAGATAATCAACCATTCCGTCAAGTTGAAGAACCTGGATGCATCTATTGTCTGACTGCCACGAGGCAATGCAGAATTCACAATCCTTAGCTCATGCACAGAGCCAGTGCTCGCATTCCTACCAGAATGCATACGCCTCTCAAAAATCGGTGCACAGAGAGGCGAGTGTCGAGAGCGACGACAAACTGCCCTAAGCAACCCCCGTGATCTCAGGGTGGTACAAATGCAAGTACTCCAATGATACTAGAGAAGTCAACCATTTGGACCCCGAGTCAGAGATTTTTAAACTCGACAGCAACTCAATGTGCCGTGGATATTAAGCCGTTCCGCATTGCAACACAACGCTTGGCACTTTTTCGCGGAGCTATGAATAACAGAGTAACGGTGCGGGAGGAAGATGCGGAGCAGGCAATATAGTGACGCTTCAGGAGAAAATGTGTTCGCTGCAACGCAAGGCGCTGTTGGGTGCCCGCGCTGTACCAAAAAGGCGTCTTGAACTCGCCCCTTCGCCGGCTGGACAAGTTCCAGCTCTGACGCAAGGGTCTCTGGACTGCCCGCGGCGTCTGGCGGCCCGCATGCACAAGTCGCTGCGCAGAAGAAGGTGGCAATTTGAGGCCAGCCGAACTTTGGGAGGACGCCATTCTGGTGGCGCCCGGCTGGGAGAAGCGGGGAAAGACAACGCGCGGCGCGGGAAGCGCTTGCGGGAACACGCTGGCGCCGTCGCGGCTCAGACTCGCAGCCGATAGAATGCACACGTGAACGCCTTGGCTCGCCGCACCCCACCGGCGGAATGCCGCCCAGTTCGAATCTGCCCCGGAATCTGCTTGCGCGGGCGCGTCGCTGGGATTCTCGGGTACTGTTCCCAGCGCCGGGGACGCGCAGAACGTTTCGAGGCTGACCACTTGTTGACCCGCTGCTTGGGTCGCACTTCGCACGCACGCAGGAAGCCAGGGACTAGTCCAGCACTGGTGGGTTGCGCGTGAAACTTGGCATGTAGCTTTTGTACCCCATTCCAGACAAGGGGGACACGATGCGGACAGGATAAAGAAGTAAGGTTCTGACAGAAAAATGCGGAGCATAACGCGCAACGGCGGGAGTTGGCCTGTGCGGAATGGTTTAATATTTTAGGGTATGCAAGGGATGTCAGCTTTGCTGCACTTCTCATCCCATCATCTATGATGCTGCAGTGTGTCAAGGTGAGTATCTCAAATGATGTGAGAGTTGCTGTGCTCCTCGCATTGGCATATTTGTTATTTTCGCCATGCAGCAGCCCCAGGTTTGCAAGCAATGACAATGCGCCCAGACACACAAAGCCAACCTCTGTAATCCGCCTCCCCAACGATATGCATCTGAAAGGCCCAAGCGGCGACATAAGGGACAACATCTTGATACCCTCATCCGCAACATTCCTGGTGTTGCCCAAGGTAAGATCTTTGATTGAGGGAAAGTCTCCTAAAATTCGTCAATGTTGCATCCGTGGAAAAGTCAACTTCAGTATGCCAAGTGCAGTGAGTGTCGCCAAGTTGAGTACATCTTCAAAAGTAAGTTTCCACCAGGATACATCCAAATTCGTGCGCGCAGTAAACGCCACCAAGTTAGGCACCGACGCACCTACTGCAAAAAGGGAGGGGCAACTACAGTACTTTTGGCGATGGCGATTTGTCTGCCAGCATGCCGATGCCTTGGTCAGTAAGTCTATAGCTGCCTCCTTTGTACAGATCGATGATTGGTGGCATAGTTTCCACAAAAACAGTATCCTCATCAGCTACTTGAGAAGGTCTCAAAATCCATCCTTCTGAGGGATATCAACCTCACCAATTGCTGCAATCGTGTGTTTGTTGTCATGCCTACGCTTTCAAACAGGTGAAAGCAGACAGACTCGTCTACAATTCTGCACCTAAATCTCCTATGCATGCGTCCCACACACCCACGCTGACGTGTTGCATTGGTGCTCGCAGATCCTTAAAGACCAGGCTGCCAATGGATCAGTCAGTCAAAGAATAGATCCGCCAAAGCTGTCAGGACCTCAATCCACTGTGCGGATGCATATCTGAGGTACTTACAAGAAACATGGTTCTTTTCTTTTAATTCCAATGTATTATTTTTTTAATTCCAATGTATTACATCAAAAGATAAACAAAGGATCTCCCCCACAAAGCGTAAAGTATGCAAAGATCCTTTTCCAGCAGAAGCCGATGCAGGAACATAATCAGGAGATGAGGAGAGCATGAATGTTCGAAGAGACATAATGTTCCTGTGGGGGAGTCCTCAGCGCAAATGTGAAAAGTGATGTCAGATAGTGTGCATCATGTAATGTAAGAAACATGGTTCATGTTCAGTTTAGTGAGGAGCGAAAGTCGGCCCACAGTGGCAGCGCCCTCCTCAGTGATCAATTCGCAACCTGAAAGATCCAAATTGACAAGTTTTGGGAGCCCCTCGAGCATTGCCAGATTTGAGTCTTGCGCACGCAGGTTTTGGCGCGGTGTAAGCTTTTGTACATTGGGAAATGCACAGGCACTGGCTCCCAGCACATTGGAAATCAGGTTCGAATAATCATGCATGAGCGGATCGCTTGGCCGCAACACCGCGATGGCTCTGCTTGCCCAATGGTGCCCGTGGCGATTCAGGAGATGGGCACATTTTAGTGCCGATGTTCGGTGGGTGTGCCCTGAGTCGAGCATGTCCTTAATGATAACAAGAACATCTGGAGTCATGTCGTTCTACCATTGCAACGCCATTTGAACCTGGAACACAACTCAGCTATTGTTCCAGGCGGAGTTTGTTCTGAGAATGCTGCGCACAACCAAAGTGCACAATACCAATTGCAAACGCAAAGGTGGAACGTCTGCTTTCTGGCCACCATGGAAGTCTGAGAGTTTGGTAAACTGTAGGCCCCACGGTGCGGAAGCAGGGCTTCCTGCAGTATGCATGTGGATTTGCTCTGGCCCTGGACTGATTGTGGGCAAAT